TGCCAAATGCTCGCCCTACTTTCAATAAGTGAGGCGGCCGTGATGCGCTCCCCGGTGCTGCAGCCAATCACGGGTGGCTGCACGCGGTCTCGGCGTGCTGGGCCTGCACATCTGCTGCATTCTGCTCCCTCACGACATCGTCGGATACCGTGTCTGGCGAGCGAGACAGCGCTACTGCGGCTCCGCGTTTACCGTCTGAGGTCTGTTAATTGCTGTCGCTGCTGACTAGCGGTGTGCAGTCGCCGCTGGGATGACACGCGTTGCAGCTTCACGCCCACCAGACACGCCCGAGGTCCCCTACGGAACGCCCTAACGCCGTCGGTCGTTCTGTGGCGATCGCCTCCCACGTCCCAAAGTATTGGATTGCACATTTAAGATATGGTCAGAGCATAATCCACGACGTAGTCACAGGTCTGTGCCCGTCTTTTAAACAAGAATGCAAGGGCACCCGCTCGCACCTAACCTCAGCCTCCGACCTTGCACAACCACCCACAACGACACAAACGTTGTTTGATTTCCGCAGCGTCACCTTGCAGCACTCGCACGCCCTGTCGCAACTCTACTACTACTCCATCCAGTAGTACCCCTTCCTGTCTGTCTCTCTGTTTTTTTGCTCGTTCCGCGCTGTTGCACTTTGCTTCTGCAGCAAAGTGGTTTTCCTACGAAGCCGTCTCTTCACGCTTCGCATCGTCACTCTTCTTTTTTGTCATCATCGCGAATGACCACTCTGTCCTGCTTGCTATGAGATAAGCCTCGACTGGCATACAAGAGATCCTATTGATCTGGTATCCAACGAGGGCACATGCAAAAAGGTACGACTTGCTAAGCACGATCCCGCGTCTTCGTGCTTGTCTGACTCGGGAGCTATCTCGTTCGTTCCAGCGGCCACCCGTCGCTACGTCAAACAGCCTATGAACACGTTTCTGGCTTGTGTCTTACAAACCGCTCTGTCTTGGATAGTTTGTAAGCTAACGAGTGGTAGTTGGCGCTTGTAGCAACCCCATGCGCTTTTCTTGAGCCTTCGCTTCCCCAGGCTTCATCGTCGCCATTACGCACACTCGCGCGCTCGACACCTTCCCGCTTTCAACCGTCGTCGTACACCCTACCTACGTCATCTTATGAGAACCCGGCCCACCATGCAGCAGAACTGCGGGAGCATCCGTCGGCGGAAGGAGATGCGTTCCCAGCCGACCAAGCCTGTCAACACAGCTTCCTCTTTCGGACCTGGCTTTGCTTCACGGTCGGCCATGGATGTCGACGACAGAAGCGCTTCCACGTCATGGCATAGCTCTACGACGTGCTTGGATGGACAGATGGAAGAGACTGCGTCAGGACCACGGCATGCGGTTGTCGAGGTTAGATCAAGAGATGGAAGTCCAGCACGAACGCTATCACTTTATCACTCCACCATCCCAGAAGAGCTCGCAGGATATCTACGAGTTATGATGCCTGGAGAGACAGGAGTGGAACAGTCTGGCGAGGAGCTGGCAGAGAACTTCCTCGAAGCATTAGATTTGCCGCCAGTCACCAAGCAGTCGTTGAGCGAGCTGGACATTCAGAGCATCATCACCAACATCAAGTTACGGCATGACGTCAACTTCGACAGAGACCTCAGCTTCAGACCGAACGTCGATGGCGTCAAGGGACAAGAGAAGGAGAGAGTAGCGGACAAGTACTGGGGAGCGTTGATCGCCGAACTGGTACTATACAACCGCATGTTCCACGGCACACCACCCCTGTCACCGATCCAAGTCGAAGCTTTCACACCATATGCGCAACGGCGGATACCGATATTGTTCCAGAATGTCCGCGATGTTCTCAAGAGCCTGGTTCCCGATCGCGATCATTCCAGAGTGGATGAGCATCTCGATGTTCCTATGCTGATGCAAGCTATCGAGCGAGGAGTGTGTGATCTGGGGCGACTGTCAGAGTGGATGGCGCAATTACTCAAGGAGCACTGCGCGCCGATGCGTGATATCTTGGTCGACGAGATGGTCACCTGCACAAGACTAGGCGAGGCGGACCGTAATCTCGAAAAGATCGTAGAAGGTCTGAGGAAGTTGTTCGGCATTTTGGAGGCCATGAAACTCGTAAGTTGCCTGATGGAAGTGATATGTGCTCAAGCTAACCCATGTAGGACGTTGCGAACCATCAGATCCGGAATCTGAAGACGCTTCTGATCGAGGACAGCGTCAACTTTGAGAAGCACTACCATCTCGACAGACTTGTTCACGGCAGGGCAAGAGTCAACATCAACACAGCACAAACCTGGTTCACAGACGCCGTTGATGAGTTTGGTCCTCAGTGCTCGCCACGACCCCGAGCTGGCCCATGTTTCGAGCTGGAGGTCTTCACTCGCGCAGTCACAGCAATCACATTCGGCCGAGACGGACGGAGTGACTTCCCTGATACCTTCTTCCTAGACCACGATCGCCTAGCATCACTCAAGGCTGAGGTTGACGATCTCGTCATGTTTGAGGTCTGCATGGAGATGTACACACAACTCGCCCGACAGCTCGGCTACCAAGGCTCGATGACCCTTGCCATCGGTCAACAACTCCGCACCGCCCTCTCCGCCATCATGGGCGAAGCCGTAGGCCACGGCCCCCAACAATGGATGCTGAACTCCGAAGCCCTCTCCCTAGAAATCCTGCGCCAGGCGTCCCACCTCGCCGGCCAAACCCCCTCCTGCAGTTTCGACCACATGGCCGAAGCCAACCAACACCTCCGCACTCTATTCGTGCGTAGATCTTCCTGGCACGCATCCCGCCTCGAAGCGTCGCTCCTCCCTCAGATCCTCGCCAACGTCGACCGCCACAGCACATCCTCGCCCATTGAACTGTTCAACGCCCTTGTTTCTATATCTCCTTCCATGCCGCCGCTCCCTTCGCTTTCAAGACCTAACATCGCCGATACGTTTGCTTTTGCGCATTTACATCCTGAGACGGCGAAATTGACTGATCTCGCTAATCGGGTTACACATATTATACTGCTTCACTGGCGCATATGGGCGCCCATCGCATACGTTCAGGAGGATGGGTCGCAGCGCTCGACATCGACTGATGGAAGCGCGATATCGAACCAGGTATCGCAGACACAATCACAGTCACGGCAAGTGGCTTCGAATGCGGAGAAAGACGCTTCTGTCCCAACTAGTATGCGGACGGGTGAGAAACTGGATGCGGGTCAGGATGCGCATGTGCAACATCAGTCGCTTCCGCAATAGCACTCATCCACTTCCTCTCCCCATCTCCCCTACATCACGTCCCCCTTCACCCCCATCCTTTTCCTTCTCCTTCCCGTTTTCCATCTTCCAAGGCGTTCAAAAGGCTTCACACGAACGATTACTACCGGCGAGATCTACACACACGGCGCAATAACGGCTCTTTGTTCTTTTGCTTGTTTTCTGCTTGTTTTTTCCACGATACCACCTTTTCATGCTCACGGCGCTGCGGCAACACTATACGTTGTAATAGAATGTTCACAAGAAATTTTCCAGTTGGGTTGGTACTTGTTGTATCTTGCGATGGGAATGGGATGGGATGGGATAGGTCAGGATAGGGATGTAGCATTAGTGGATGATTGAAGAGTGAGAATGAAGAATGTTACAAACTGTTATGGTTTTTTACATGTAGGTGTGCGGCCGTCTTTCAGTATGATTATCTTGGATATGTTCCAGCTTCTTAGCTCGCAATCAACCACTTGCTTTCCTCCCTTCAATGTTGCTATCGTATGTACAACAAATATGCTAGAACGCACCTTCCTTATTGCATATCTCAGTACCTACTACTGCTTGAGTTCAACCAGAACAATATTAAGAGTACATATAGGTGTATACAGTAAGTAGAGGCTGTTTGCGCAGTATCCTGCATCGCGATTATATATAATGTCACCGCATTATAGTTCTATCTTAGTAGTAGCGGATCAATTAAGGCAATACATAGAACCTACGCTAAATAAATGTTAACTTACTTTCTAAGGTAGCTAGGTCGAAAGTGACATACCATAACATTGAGAACTACGAACCGAGCATGTCCTAGCCCACTCCACACATTGTTCAGTCGTCTAGTAGCGGGTAGTGAGAGATAGAGGTTGAAATAGGATAGTGGAGGAGTTATATAGGTAGCGAGGTAGCGTGGTAGCCCCACTCATTTTCCAGCGCTGGGTTAGCAGCGTGCGATCATAGAGAGCTTATTTAACCGATCTCTTTCGTCGTAATAGGCGCTAAACTCTACCTCCGACAGCGCAGTGCAAACGTTTTCTACATGCGCTTCTTCTTTGTGTTGCTCCCTGCTTATGTTGGTTCTCGTTTACGTTGCTGCTTGTTTATGTTGCTTCCTGTGTACAGCTAGATCAATCGAGACTTCGCGGTTGATCTCTCATCTAAGCTTAACGCTGTGGCCTTTACTTTCCTGTTGCCTATTGCCTCTGAGATGGAGAGTGGATGGCCATTTGCTACATTGAAAACATCTTTTAGCGCTTACAGGTGCGATATATGGTGATGGAAATGAGTTTACATATGACTATCTGAGACTACTTTTGAGGAAGCTACAATGGCATGAAATCTTCGTCGCAGTAATGATATGCAGCGGCTCTAAGAGCATACGAGTAATCGAGAGAGCAGTTCTTGCAAGCTTCCTGAATGTCGTGTTGAACATTTCTGTACCCCTTTCTGTGCTGATCCCATACAACATGATTTCCACATCTGTGTGCGAGTAACGCTTTGCGGAACCACGCCAGATGTTCATGGACTCTGCTCAAACGAGGCATTGCCAATGTAGGCTTAATTGCAGCGTACAGATCCCATTGAGGGTGAGATACAATCCAGAGTAGAATCTTACTGATGACAGATTCTCTTCCCTTGTGGACGATGTTTTCTCTATCTCGCCACTCGCAGTTCCGAATCACCGCTACCATCTGCACAAGATGCTTGATCACCCATGTAGCGTCGACCTCTTCAGATGCTGGATTCGTGATGTAGGCGCATATTCCAGTTGGTATCACTGCAGCGCTTTTGATCGCTGCAGCTTTTTTGATCGCTGCAACGTTTTTGATCGCTGCTGCGTTTACGAAAACACAGTTTTGGGTAGGGTCTGAGACACAATAGGGCTTCACAGTAAGCGAATGATAGGCCTTCGTGTATCGAAAACATGGTGCGTAAGTTTTGCGAAGTACCGCTCGTGGATTCTCGCAAGTGCGCTTGATGAATTCATCCAGTCTTCTTGCCCAAGGCGCGACCTCGCTGTCGTTGTGGAAGCTGAGGACGACACGACCATCCAGTTTTTCTTGTTCAGATGCGGTGACGCAAAGCACGTTAGTCTGGTCGCTGGCGTAACGCCTGAAGTAGCTCTCAGGACTTGAAGCCCAGGCTTCACGCAGCTTGAGGTCAAGGTCTTCGGCGGAAATAACCAGCTCGTTCTGCTCCAATATGTCTCTAAATGCCACCCTGCGCTGAGCGACTGACTCAGTGATTGCAATATACGTCAATTCTCGTATAGGTACACCGTCATCGTCCATGCGGTATCGCACAAAAAGCGAAACCAAGATCTTTTGCTCTGGAAGATCTTCGACGTCCTTGGTGTCTTGGAGCCCGGTCCATGCCTGTTCGATGATTTTGATTCCCTGAGCGCTTGATAAGAGAAACCAACAGCGGCTCGCATGAACAGTTCTCAATCTATCCCAACCTGCGTTCGTGAAGTTTTCCTGGGCATCATCGTCGGTTCCGGTGATATACAGCCCTCGTACTCGAGACTCGTACTTGGCGCTTTCCCAGACCCTGATATCGACATGCTTTCCAGTGCTCTCAAAGAGAGGTTTGAGAGCAGGCACAATAGTGGAGTCTTTTGCGTCGAAGGCTGGTTTCGCAAGTATCTCGGCCGTTTCAGCTCTGCTAATAGCAGCGAAAGGTCCATCGCCAATCCGAGAGTTTGCATAACCAGTCCTTGAGAGGATATCGGGGTCTGCGGTGACTGTATAGGATGACTGCTGACCTTTGTCTACTACAGACTTCAGTTGTCTAATGATATTGGGCCGGTAGATGTCACGCGCCCAATCAACGATGTAGTCCATGATGAGAACCAACTGTAGTGCTGCATCGTGGCCGGTAATACTCCCCTCCCACAGGAGATTAGCTTTCTGCCGAGACATTAGTAAACCATTGGAAAACTCATGTATTAACTCACGTAACAGGGTAGGCTTTCTGGACTAGACTTTGTAACGTAACATCCATATACCCTCCACTGCTCCCCAATATGCGCAAGAAACCAAGATAGTGGGCCACCTGGCACTTTCATCTTGTTGTCCTGGTCATCTTGAAGTTGGAGCTGTAGGTACAGATGATTTCGTATCGGTATTGCCGTTTGCGTCTCGATGTATTTCCAATCACCATCGCCTTTGAGGCTTTTGGCTTCCATCGCTAGGAAAGGGTATATGCAGGGTTGGTCACCACTGTCTGGGTTGCAGCTCATGGTCAGTCTCTGAGACAAATATCTGAGCGCAGTGTTCTCTCCCAAGTGGGAGATGTGTAGTCGCTGCAAACTCTCCGCCATGGCTTCAGTAGTCCTTAGTCCGTAGACTCGATCAGGCTTCTTCTCAATTCGACAATTCTCTGGGTCATTCTGGATGAAGCTTCGCTCGCCAATACGATAAGTGAAGATATCGGTCAGTCCTGTACTAAGACTAGGCAGATGATCAGCTGTGATTCGCTTGCTTGCCCAGGTGGTGAATCTATCAACTCACATGCTATGCTGTTTCGCCAATGGCTCACACAAGCATCCTGAACGACGTTTCTGACGCTCTAGGAGGGACATCGTTCGACTATTACTGTGTTTCGGATCCACCTGGATGCAAGATTCCCACAGACGTCTCCGACATCCTTGGCTACTTTCGGTCAGCGTGCGAAACATGAAGTAGATCAAATATATCATACCATCCGACTTCGATCTTAAACCGTTTAAAGACGTAGGGCTCAAGTTCCATTCTCCAGCTATCCTCGTTCTGGTAATCATCCCTCGATCGAACAGCCCAGTAGATCATCTGCTTAGCCCGCCTCTTGTTCTCGAGCTCCCATGGCTTGTCGATGGTGTCAGGTCGAGGTTGTATCGCATACGACTCGTAGCTCATCTTGCCCAGTTGCTGAATATGCTTGAACTTTATCTGATGTTCTTCAGGGACATCTCCTGGATGCGGTGGGTAGAATTCCTGATAGAACTTGATGCGGAACTCTTTCGCGTTTGCCTCGTCAGCAGCAGCTTTTTGGGCAGCTGTTTGTTTGTCTGGAACAGCGTCTGCTGTCTTCTTCCATTCCCTTTTCTTTGGCACAGGATCCATCGGTGGATCCGATGCTCCGTCTCGTTTTCTCTTACTTCCAGTACTAGCAACAGTCTTCGAGGCTTGCGCATTGCCCCTGGTTCTCAGCGTCGGAGCCATGAGTGCTGAAGTGGAAAAGATGATGGGATTTGGTGGCGTCGATCTGCGTCTTGTGGGTAGACTATGGCAACCTTGCTACTTGCTGACAAGTTGCGACGGAGTGAGGTATGGCTAGCGCTGCGGAAGGCACGACCAAAACAGCCGGCCGGGATTGCATTATAGGTGCCTTGATCCCTGGGGCCAAAAGGCCCAGCAGCAATCCTTCGCGCAGGCAGCATGTTTCGATGCAACACCTTGAAACTGTCTGCTAACTACATTCCGCCCCATCTTCTTACCCGAATCTCGCTTCCCCCACACTAGCGCGGATGCGACGGATCCTGGTGGCCTGAGCGCGCATCAGGGGAAATCAGGCACCGGCATGATAGTCCACAGCTCAGTCTACTTCTAACACACATCCTCCATCTTTGCTGCAGGTCCTCGGCGATGCCAGTGCTCACTTACCATCCACTCCATCAACAACTAGTACTGCGACGATGTAGTGCGATGAGCCATTCGTGATTACCACAATGGATCAACACCTAAGTATTTTTTTTATGCGCACAAAAAAACTCTTAAATTGGGTAGGTCACGATTACTGAAGACTTACAACTCTTGCAGACATGTTGCATTGCCCAGCTGGAGTTCTATCGCGCTAATGCCACGCTTAACCGAGAAGCGTGCGGCAATCGTCATGCGATTAGCAATCTCGCAAATATGAGCAGCCGCTCACAATAGCAGTATAGACGATTGCAGTCGTATGCTATTTCTTTACCTGTTCATAGTCCCATATGTATATAAGCCGCCCATACTCTGGGATCGCCTCCACGCCAATGCTCTCCAGCATCTCTAGTACTTACCCCGAATCCGTCCCTGAACACACCAAAGTTCTTAGAATCACGAAGCGGTTTGAGGCTATCCTGCAAACATATAGACACGCATTCGTGACTCATTTCCGCATTCACCATGGCTGCAAAAACGCGCTGTGCGAGCTCAGCCGAATGCTTATCTGACACCTCCCACAAAGAGCCGATGACATGCTGAAAGCCGACAAGCAAACACGCACTCATCAAATGCAATCCTTCGTCGATCAATTTATCAGCACTGCTCCGCCCAGTCGAGCAGGCCGAAAGATATGCTATGAACGGTGGCTTTTCGTGAAGCCTCAAAGACAACAGGTCCTTTACAGTGAGAGGGTCTTGCTGCCAATCTTCGACGAGAAGCGTGCTTTCGAGTGGGTCTTTTGGATCGGACAGCCCATGACCCGCGAAATGGAGGATCGTGGCGCGGCTCATATCTGCTATGACAGCGGCTTTATTGGGCTTCAGTCGTACCTCAGGTAGTTCATCAATGGTGGATAGTTTCGACAGTTCCTTTCGGACCAGTTTCCCTTCTTCGTCTGCGGAAGGAAGATCGCTGCCTCCAGGCGTTGTTCCCATGGACACTATGAGGGGCCGGTGGAAATGTAAGTGGCTGGCTGTGTTCTTTGCATTGCGCTGACTGTATATCATCGCTTTGATGGATGGACTGTAGGAGGATATGACTTTGTCCATCAAGATGGATGACGAATTCTTGGTGTAATTCCCAGCTGCGTGGATGGGCAAGGAGCACAGAGGACCGCTTGGCACCCACCACAAACGCGGCTTATCTGATGGTTGATGCGATATCAAACCTGAACGCTGTAGGGCCTCAAGTATAGGCTGTACGAGGACATCCCAGAGCCATCGAAGCAGCTCGAACATTTTCGGTTGAGTAATTTTACGCGACATCAGGAGCGTGGCCCATGTCTTGATTGCGTCCAGTTGCAGATTCGAAAGAGCAACGTGTTCCAAACGGGAAGATGCAACAATGAAAGCATCACTGCGATACTCACTAACGTTGATCACAATGACGGGACCGGCTGATGCTATAGCTTGCATCTCCTCCATTGAGGGCGGTGCAAGGAAACGAAGGAATCCGTCTTGTTCGCGAATCTGCGCAATGCTCTCATCGAGCTGTTTTACGATGTTGTTCCGGTGTGTGAAGTCGAGAGATACGTTCGTGCCGGAAGTCGCATCTTCGATACTGGCCTGTGCAGCAGGCGATTCGAGGCTGCTCCTAAGATGCTCAAATCGAGTAGCAAGATCTGGATGCTGAGATCGCAAGGCCGAGATATCAGAGCGAACATCGAACAGCAGACCAAGAATGATGCCCCGGCCTTCTTCCAGAATCTCGAGAGCCTTTTCAGCGGTTGCACCCGCCTGTAGTGCTACTGAGGCAGCTACCGTAGTCATCCCGGAGAATTTTGATATTGCGTCCTGTTGATCTTTTTGTTGCAGAGATCGGGGACTGACTCTTTGAAGAAGACTAACGGCAAGTTGCAGCAGAACGTCTGCTTCAGCAAAGTTGGCCTGCAGTATCAGGATGTCGGCAGCTTTTCTAGCTGCTTCAATTCGCAAAGAAGGCGAAGCAACGGGGTTGTGTGCGCACTTGCTTAGATTGCGAACAGATGCTCCCAGACTCGCGACAGAACCAGTAATCTTGTAATGTTCGAATTGTGTATTACCAAGATTGCGAAGCCGCGAGGGGAGTTTTCCGTCAGTAGGGAGCGTCTGATCGACGACTGATTGGAAGAGTCCAACGGCTTCGGTTATGTTTCTCGAGGAGTCGACCTGTGGTATTGGGCTCATTGCGCTAATTTGCAGGATTCGTGCCAGGTTGTTCCGATTGGCGAGATACTCCAGCTTCGTGGGTCGACCGAGATGAACCGCCTTACGCGCGAATAGGACAGCTTTGTTGAGATCGTCTGCATTGACTTGTTTCATATAGCGAGCAATCAGCAGACCAGACAATGTACTGAGGATTGTTTCAGTGAAATGATTCAGATCAGACGTGTTTCGTTCCGCATCAGTTGCGCACTGTATCGCTTCTTCCAAGTCCTTTCCACCACCTTCTCGGTCGAACCTTAGCCACAACACGCCAGCAAGATTGTGTATACGTTTCGTACGGTGAGGACTGTCGAGTGGCGTCCGCTCCAATGACTTTCTTGCAGTATCAACAGCGCGATGAATGTCCTCTTTGACCTGCATCAGCTCATATCGGAATCGAACGAGGCCTGTGAGAACGTTCCAGTATTCTTGTGCATGCTCACTCTTTTCCTCAGCCAGATGCTTTATCTCATCAAGCTTTTCAATTCCTTTGTCCAGATGTATCACGTCTCCACGGCATTGGTACATTAGTCCTTGGCAGGATGCACTCTCAGTTTCGTACTTTAGAATTTTTGGCGAGTTCGGTGGTAACAGGGCTGCAGCTTCTTCTGCGATCGGAATTGCTTTCGCCAAGTGTTCTGGTCGTCGTGTGGTAGTATACAATACTCGTAGCTTAACGGCAAGATTGTGAAGGTGAATCGCCCGATCTTTATCTTTCTCGGCTGGCAATATCTCCAAAATCTGTTGGGCGAAATACACCGCTCTTTTGACATCGTTGGGGTCGTTCGTAACTTCGTATCGAAGAATCAGCATCATCGATGCCTGGTCGCAACACTCGACTTTGGCGTCCACTTTCTGGAATCGTTGGAAGGCCTTTTCAAGGTAACGAACGCAACGAGTGATATCATTGACATTTTGGAAGCCCTCGGCACGGCATCCTTTGATGATAGCAACAGCAAAAGACAACCAAGCCGTTCCATGGGAAGTCAAGATCCAGACGATTCCCTTGCGAGCCTCCTCGGCTACTTTGTGGCGATATTGTTCCAAGTGCGCCCGCGAGGACTCGATATTTGATGGGTCATAAGAGTCTTCTTCTACTGAATGAAGCACCCACTCATGTTGTTCCAGGGTACTGACTAAGAGCCTGTGTCTTGACAACAACAATTTGCGGCGTGCAGGCATAGCGTGAATCGAATACTGCAACCAATAGAGCGCACACGCCAGGTCTTCTTTGGACTTCGTTCGTTCGAACTTCGCCATGAAAAGATTGCTGATTTTCGGAGGAACTTGATGTTCCATCTCTCGATCTTTTCCATCCAGTGATAGAATCCTGTATGCTGCATCGATTGCAAGATTGAGGTCCGAATCTGTCAAGGTACGAAGGAACATGAAATAGCGTAAAGAGGATAGGCACCAGATGTCCCCTGCTCCCTCATTATTCTCAAGCTGTGTTATCTCCCCCTGAAGTGCGTTGACATCTGCAAGTTCGAACTTTTCTTCCAATCGCTGTCGTTCTGCGATTACTTGCGCCTGCTGTTCGTTTACGATCTCCGCGTCCATATTTAGTCTTTTACCACTGCTGGCTCTTGTGTATGCGAGGTTTGGAAAGACTTGGTTATAGCTATCCAGGAGATGGGAACGGGAAGGTGATGTTTACACTTCTCCGCAGGCAGTCTTTAAGCGGGGCCTTCGCCCTGACGCTACGGCTCGCAGTAGAACAGACATGTGAGCTGCGGACGCTCAGGTTGCCTATGTGAAGACGTCAGATCTCGAGGAGCGCATATGCATCAACAAGCCATTTGGGGGTCAGCTGAAGTCTAGCCCTCGGTGGCGTTCTCAGCGCGAAGGCTCAAAGTCCACAAGATCTGATTGGGTGACATAATTCAAGCTAGTGCTGGTCACGAGGTGCCTGGCCAATGGTATCGAGCAGATCTCGCTTATGTCTTCCGAAACCGTCTTATCACCCATCTCACGCCTCCACGCTGTTCTAGGGAGCTGCAGGCCGGCGTACTGTGTGAACCAACTTCTTGGTTGATTCCTCAACAAAAGCCGTCGCGAGCTCTCGACACAGACCTGCGTTGTGGGTGGCCGAGCTGCTGTTGATCTGACTGCGTCGCTTCCTTAATGAGACTACTCTTATACCTTGTTTCTGGCTAATTCTTCTCAACATCAATTGCGAACATGGCCCCAGGTGTATTATCCACCCTCCAGCTCAAACACTCTATCGCACTATCTGAAGTCAAGCTGGGCCGTCTTATCACCAACCCTCTATATCCGGATGACAACTTCTTCCAGCCCGAGGCATCGGAGTTCGCAGAGCGTGACGATGCAAGCGCTCGCAACGCATCCAGGCCAATCGACTCACCACCTATGAAGGTATCAATCCAGCCATTCCACAATTTCAATGACACTCTGGAGCGCTCACGCGGAACAAAACTGGAGCTCTCTTTATTAAGCTTGCTATCAACATCTACAAACTTCTCTAAGGGCAGTTCCAGGACCATTGAGAGCCCTCTGTGCCTCATCCACCAAGTGCGAAACCCAGAGTCTTATTTCGCAACAGTGTGCAAAGACAAGGCAGCCTGTGAATGGATGGAGGAGCAGAATCAACGCCCAAAGACATATGTTTATCTGATCTGTGGATTCAAGACTTTGACGGACGCGACGTTGGAGCGAGATGGCACGAAAACGACTGAGTTCACACCTTCAGCTTCTTTACCTGTTGCAACAATCGCTGGTGCAGCAGCAGGAGTACCGATAGTCCTTCCAGATGGTGTGGGAGATGTTGAGGTTGGCATGGGCATCACAAAAGAATCGAGCGAGAGTCTGGGGTACTCTGCACCGGGAGAGCGCGTCTATGCGTTACAGTGCCGCAAGATCCACTTTAAGCGCTTCTCATCAAAGGTAGACGGTTCTCGTTTGAAGAAGAAAGATGAGAATTGCTGGATATCGTACATCGATGAAAAGTCAGGGGATACGGACGAAGATGCCGTCGAAGCAGAGCTCGCTGGTGCTTTTGGCTTGGAAGATATCGACGATGAGTATGAGACGCTTGAAAAGGTAGAAGTGGGCTCAGAAGAAATCTTGTTTCGATCCGAGTAGATTCATACAATGGCAATAGCTTGATACTCAGGAGAACTATTCGCGTATGAACTAAAGAAGTCGTGCTGGCCGTATAGATTGATCGCTTGTAGTAACCTTTCATTGGGTTATTATACCAGCGCTTGAATATGGAAATCAAATGTTTGCCAATCGTCGTCCATCTTTGGCTGTCTTGAAAGGGGAAATGCACCATCGCGACAAAGAGGCGCTAGCTCTTGCAGGAGATCGTCCAAATTCTCAGCCGACTCGTTTCCTCTCCAGTAACCTTCATCTTCAGCGACTCGTAATTTCTGTAACGCCATGGCGCTCATATCCTTCTCTGGAACAGATACGAATATTTTGAATGTGTCCACAATCGGGATTGCACGTGCAGCAGCAGCCTGCAAAGTATCCGAAATCCCTACAAAGAGATCTACATCGAGTTGATCGTGGGGCGCAATACTGTGGAACAGGTTTTCGTGCATGACCGAAATGCCCATCTCAGGATTGAAATTGAGTATGACGCAACCGATGGTATTATCGGAGTTGTTTGTGACTTTGAAGCGGAACAGTTCCTTTTGTTGCACACGATATACACCGTCTTGCTGCAAGCCAATGCTCTGAGCGGCAGGTATCCAAATCGACTTTTCAGTGTCTGCATATTCGCCGTCTGGTGAGGGCTCGAGAGTGACATATGCAAGGTCTGGGAGGTTGCCAAGACGAATGTGTGGATTCTCCAATCCTCTCAACAGTTTGAACCGAGCTATGTGTTCTAGTCGAGAGATGAGCTTGGGCATGCGCTTATCTCCACTAAGCGGAGCCAGGGTGTTGGAGATATATGCAGGGAAGATATCACCAACGCAGTTGATCTGATAGCACCCTTCATGGTCCAACTGGACTCGGAACTGAGCGTCGTCGTCAGTTGATAAGCATAATTTCTCTCTCCCTTTCAAGCTATGATCCCAGTCGCGTGGAAACTGGACAGCTTGGGCTTCATTGCTAGCGATGAATCGAACTCCGGCTGTGCCTCCTAGAGGCAGGCTTTGTAACACGGCTGGACATCCGACGTCAAGCTTTTGCCATTGCAGATCCGTAATGCTTTCGGGCTGAAGGAACACAGCACGGCACTCTCGCGATTTCATCCGTTCGATCCGTACTTTTGCGAGGATGTCTGACTCTGATATCGGCGTGGCGGGGTCAAAGCTGAGAGGAAGAATGGCATAGACGGAATGGATGTATACTGCATCCATTCTGCCGCCATCTAAGCGCAGCCACTGCCTTTGCTTTTCGTCCACGTGAAGTACTGTGAGGGTATGGACTCTAGACCTGAAAGCCTCGTCGAAGAAGAACCGACGCAGATCCCCGATAATGTAAGGCGTTTGGGAGGCCACCTTTTCCGCTATCTTTGAACGCACTCGATCGTAAATGGCACGAGAAGACAGCCGTGTAGACGTGTTTCGAAGCGTGTCTAACAGCCAATAGGAGAGATACCCGTGGATGTAGATGTCGGTGGCTGTTTTGCAGGTATATTCCTTTGCCTTTTGGTAATCAAGACAGGCCGCGAGAGTCACAAATCCGCTCGGCGACTCCAGCCAGGAAGCCTTGCCAGCCCAATGTTGTACTCTATCCATATTGTCAGGAACATCAATCTCTTGGTCCGACAGGTAAGTGCCCCGAACGCCACGGACCCCTTCAACTTCCTCATCATCATCTTCACCCCGCACAGCACCGCCGGAGAAGCAACTGTCGAGTACCACTGTAAGGACCACAGCTTTTGCAACGATTTCCTGCAAAAGAGCGCCGAGTTCTAGATCCCTGAGATATTTGCCACCTTGTTTGATATCCCAGGGCACAAGACAATGATCAATGTTTCCGTGGCCCTGTCGCAGAGATTCGAAAACTGTCGTAGCACACGCTCCGTGTCCAGAATAGTGGATGTAGATAATGTCCCCTGCGGCAGATGTCCGAGCAAGATTCTGTAAGGCGCCAACGATATTCTTGTACGTCGGTAGTTTGTGAACCTCACTGCTCTGTTCGTACGGACTCGTGGTTCCTAGAACAGGCGCGAGTAGAGTGTCAATATTGCCAGCAGGAACTTTCAAGGTACGGATGAGGTATTCCCGAATGGCGAGTACATCGTTGACGCAGCCCCGCAGATTTCTGTATTCGACGTCGTTCCCGCTAGTGTCTTTCCTTGGATGCTGATCCTGTCCTTGGACTTCATACTCATCGATGCCAATCAAGACAGCTCTTTTGGTCGTCATGTGGCGAGGACTGTTGTGCGTCACACTAGGCTGTTCGTTTTCGTTTCGATCTCCAGTCTGGGCTGTTGTGACATTCGCAAGTCCAACCAGAATGTACATATGGAGCCAATATATCGTTACGCGCGGCCGTTACCAGATCTTTGGCTACCTGGGTAGCGCGCCACGGGCCGCCATCAGGGCGTTCTTCAGCTCTGCACCCCTAGCGTGCGGCGCGAGCGACACAACAAGCCAGACCACATACCACTTGCTTGCGCCGCGCAGACTATCCTCCTATCTTGTCTGCTAACATACTACTGGCACTTGAGGGAGAGGCGCCACGAGGCCACCCGCATATGCGTGGCGTTATTGGTAGCAGTACTGTGACAGTTTAGACACCCATGAACCAGAAGATGCACGTACTCCACGGTATCGAGTCCAGACACTCTCAGCTTTGCAGCCACGGCGTTGCGAAGGTGTAAGGCTGACCAATGAAAGGGCGCGGATACCACAGAGATGTAGAAGACGCCTGCAAATGGAGGACTTTGCATTACACGAACCCGGGCGAGCTGAGGGGGTCGAGGCGATGACCGCGCATGCGTGATCTGACTTCCAGCGCCGCCGTTCGCTGTCAACGATTTAGCTCTCAAAAACAAATAGCTTCCTGCTCACATGCTGCTTGAGAGCGGTCGCGGCCCTTGGGTAGCTGTGTGAATCCGGCAGATACCTAGGTAGCGCAAAGACTCCCATGTAGCCTGTAATTTTCGCCAGTCTTTGCCGGTTAAGGCCCCCTCGCGTGTTGTGGTGTCGAGTTGCGGTTGCGCATGGGGTAAGAGATTCTTTCTGGCTTCGCTCCACCGATGCGCAATGCTAAATCGCGGTATCGCGTCGCGCGATGGCGTTCGAAGGCATTGCCGCCTTTACAGTAGCGCTTACCTTTCGACCCCGCACAAACAGCGGATAGCGCCGCCAAGCTTGCCAATTCGTGTCTTGGTCTGCTCAACTAGCTCTGAAGGTTCGCAATTCAACATACATGATGATGCAAGACGGCAAGTTCGTGTGGACCTCAACAGCTGCGCGCACCGCCGTTATTTTCTCCAAAACTGCTGATGCTTCCACATACGACCATAGGATCATGAAAATTAGGCTTCCCGTCCGCTCAGCCATATACAAGCATGATACCGGCGGATTAGTAGTTAGGTGGGTGACCACTAGCGAATCCCCGCTGTTGTATGTTTTTGCCATTTGAACCATCTTTTTGCCCATGAGTGTTCACGCGCCGGTCGAACACCGACGGGCTCGCTTGTATAGCATGTGGCGCGATTGCTTCGATCCTTCATGTGCGGTGCCGGTGGCGATGATGGCGACTCTCTCTTTTTGCACCACAGTAGCAGACCCCAAGCACACGCCTCACTAACCTTCACTTGGACATTAGAGTAAACACCATGGTGTCATGAATTCCCATCTACTTCAACTCAACAACCTTCTTCCCCTTCTTCTTCGCCTCAAGCACCGCATCCCTCCACTCCTTAACCCCGTCCAACGCGCCCTCCGGATCCGCCTTCTTCTGCAGTAGATACCCTTGTATCTCCGCAGGCGAAAACACGCCCTCTGGAAGCGCTTCCGCGAACTGCTTCGCCATCTCCGCAAGCTTTTCTGGCGGTAGCGTCGCAAAGTTGGGCTTTGATGGCAGAGCGCCGCTAGTGAGAGGCGAGGAGGTACCACTCGATGGTCTAGCTTTCCTCTTCTTCGTTTTGGAAGAAGGGGATTTGGCTTTGTCGTCATCGCTCTTCTTCTGTGTCTGCGTTGCCAGGTCCTCTTCGCGACTGTACATGCGACGGAAGATTTCTTGTATTTGCGTGTTGGTCGCGAGTGTGAATTTGATCTGCAGGTCTACGCGACCGGGGCGGATGAGTGCGGAGTCGAGCTTCTCGGGGTAGTTTGTTGTCATTATTAAGACGCGGCCCTCGCTTGAGGCAGCGCCGTCGATGATGTTGAGGAGACCGGCGAGCGATATCTTACTTTTGCTGCCCTCCTCGTCGGTGGGAGAGGGCACTGGTGGTGGAGGAGGCGGAGGTGAGGGCTTCACGCTAGGTGCTTTTATGCTGGGTGTCTTTACGCTGGGTGCTCGAACGGATGATGCTGCGTCGTCTGTGACAAGGGTGGTGGTTTCGCTGTCTGGCTTGGTTATCTTGCGCGGACGTAACGTTTGGGTAAGTCTTCGGCGGAAGGACTTCTTCTTCTCGATATCGGTAATAGACTTCTGCTTTTCCTCGACCTTCTTCCCATCTGTGCACTCAACCTTCTCTTCCTTTTCTGCCTTCTCTGTCACGGTATCCTTCGCTTCAATAGGTGTCTCGGCTTTCTCTTCCACCTCCGAGACGCGATCTGGTTCTGGAATCTCGGAGGACTTGTCCCGGCGAATACCCGCGCTATCGATATCTTCTAACAGGACAATACACCGGTTAGGCAGTTGACTGAACAGCATCGCAAGATCCGACTCGGTCATATCACGCTCACTCAAAGAGGCGCAGTAAACGCTCAGCCCAAAGATTCCAGCTACTGCAAAACTCAACGATGTTTTGCCGGTACCAGGAGGTCCGTGAAAGAGGTATCCTCGTCTGTGGGGAATGCCTCGCGCGGCATACCACCGAGCTGTGGCTGGGTGGAGGTATTCGTTAATGTCTGCAACGACCTTGTCCTTTTGCGCTTCATCCAAGGTCACTGTGCTGATAGGTCGTGAGGGTCGGCTGGATTGGGTGGACCAGTAACCACCGTGTTTAGTCTCCGCTCGCATAATTTCAGTCGTGCTGTTACTCTTGTGCGATGACCATTCCTTGACATGATCTATCAACTCCTTGACGGGCTTCGTGCTGCGACCCATGCAACGGATGATGACAAAGTACTCAATCCGTTCGGCGTACTTGTTCTCTTGCGAATCCTTCCTGAACTGAAAATAATGGCCGTTGTGGGTGAAGCTGTCGTCCCCAAGATTAGGCTCGTAATACACTGGACTGGTACCTTTGTACTTGTCGTAGTTAAAGATCCCAGACTCGTCCAAGACGTCTTCATCGTCCGACTCGGGCTCGTCATCAGAGTCCGCGCTATATCGAGTCTTGGGCTTCCTCGAGGTAGCTTTCAGGTCTCTGCTGACTTCCGTCATGCGCTGTTCCGATATCCAGGATATGAACTGGGGGTATAAATCATCATCGTCGTCTATCCGGATGGCAGAGGTGCCATAATCTCTGCATGAACTGTTAGCAGACCGCAGTTGACTGTTAGAGCTGTGAACTTACTGCATCCATGTACGCCCCCTGTTGTACAAGAACATGGCTCCTTGGAAGATACCAAATAATAAAAGGTATAGAGACATTGTGCTTCCAACATCGAAACCAATTTTGTTGAGGACCAGCTGGACAATAGCACCGAAGCCGGGAATGTTGATGGCTGCATCTGCGAGGCCAGGAGGTAGCGATTCCTTTAGGTTCTCCATGATTATACCAGGCCGGTGGCTTAATCCGCACGTCGAAGGAGTGTTATGAGTGGACGTGTCTTGAATGAATCCCGATGCGTTTGCTCGCGTAACAAAGCCCCCGGATTAGATGTGTTCACGGCGAATGTCGATGATTGTTGTAAAGTGGTAGTAGTCCAAGAGGAGACCTGTGATATACTTATTTGTCGCAAGCGCAATTCACCAGGCATCCAGATGATGTATGTTGGTTTACCTAATAGCAATTATCGTCATGACTTGGAGTTGAGAAAAAGGGCGGTGGGATGGCAGCCTGAGCTAAGGAGTGGCTGTGCATATTGTGCAGCCGGTCCAATGCAATCAGCTTCGACATCAGCCTCTCAAGGCTCTCTTAGGAGAAAGATTCCTCGATGGAGTAATGGTCACCCGCATGATGCGTCCAGTGAGTGGAGACCGCATGTGTCTAAAGTGCAGTGGCATCGTTAGGTCGAATGGGAGCGTTCGCGCGCAAACAGCGTGGCTCCAAGCAAGGCTGAGTGGCGTTCACTTTGAATCCCAGGATAAATATCCTTTGCGCACGAAGGGCGACTGAAGTGGCTGAGATGCATGCTGCTGTGGATACGGACGCATCATTACCGACTTTGGTGAGAAGAACCGGCGACGCCGGCCGTGAAGTGCGGGCTAGCCGGTGAGTCAAACGCCCACCATGGTACCGTAGGGAGGGCGCTGACTCGAAAGCTTAGCGAGGTAGCAGCAAGGCAGCCGCAGGGTTGAGATGTGATGGGGTTGGTTCATCTGCAGATGGCGAAGTGAGGGCTGTGGCGCACCGGTGGGCTGCAATCCTCCGCATGTTCGGGTTAGCGTATTTCTGTATATGGTCTTGGCACTATACGAGGCGGACTGTAAGCCCGCTTCAGAATCCACACATTGTTTGCGACTTGGGAGAATGTTACGCTTTTATTCGTGTGCGATAGATCTCAGAAACGAAATGATGTAGAAGTGGTGATGAGATTCATTGGTAGACATGCCGTCTGGATATCAAACGCCCCTACGCCCTTTGTTTTGCCGTACATCTATGCTAGCCTCGCTAGTTACCCAACCAGTCTAGGAACTCTGGCGTGAAGTAGCTGACCACTATTGAAGCTCCCGCTCGGAGTATGCCCTGCGTAGCCTCTTCCGCCATCTGCCTCAAGTCGAATACACCTGCAGCTGCGGCTGCGTGAATCATAGCATATTCTCCGGACACCTGGTATGCTGCAATAGGCATGTCCTTGCCAATTTCCTTTGCATCGCTAATGATGTCAAGGTACTGGCTCGCAGGCTTGACCATGATGATGTCCGCACCCTCACCAATATCCCTGACAATGGCTCGTCGTGCCAGACCGCGGCCGCCGGGAGGTAATTGGTAGCATCTTCGATCGCCAAACGAGGGCACTGAGCCTGCAGCGTCGCGGAAGGGACCGTATAAACATCCTGAGAACTTGGCGGCATATGACATCAGCACGACCTGGTGCGAGATGCCGGCTTCGATGAGCCTCAGCTTGATGGCGCGTATGCGACCGTCGTTCATGTCCGAAGGCGCCACGCAATGCGCACCGGCATTGGCATATGAGAGCGCTACATCCGCAATCCGCTCTACTGACAATGCATTGTTCAAGCTGCCATCCTCCTTGAGGATACCGCAATGGCCGTGTGAGGTGTATTCGCAGAGGCAGACGTCGGCGACGATGAAGAGATCGGGGAATGCTCGTCGCAGCAGGCGGATGGCCTTGATCACGGGGCCCTTGGGGTCGTCTGCGTTTGTGCCCAAGGCGTCCTTTGCTGAGGGTGCGAGTGGGACTCCGAACAGTATGACCGACTTGAGGCCCTTTGCGACGAGCGGGGTCAGGTATGGCACGACCTTGTTCAGGCCTCGGCGGTGGATGTTCGGTAGGGAGGGGATAAGTATCTCTTCATCAGGCTGGTCGGAAATGAAGAGGGGGTAGATGAGCATCGACTGCACTGAATGTCAGCTTCCATCATAGGCTCATGGCGTCATTCCTCGCACCTTTGTGAGCTGTCGCTCGGCTTGCCATGCTCGCGACAGAGGGTGGCTATATCCTCCATGCAATTGGCTCTTGATATCTCCGGATATGCTCACGCTCGTCGCGGCAGTGCTGGCGTAGGATCGGGTGGAACGCGCTTCCGATATTTGGGAGCGCAGGTCGGGTCGCTCTGGCCGCTCCGAATTGTTCCGGTATGCGATGTCTGAGACGAGCGAGGAGAACGACATGGCGGAGAGAAGGCAATAATGTCTTGTAGGTTGGTGAAGGAATCGAAAAGTTCAAGTCCCGCCTGTGCAAAGAAAGTGGAATGCCGCTGACGTTGGCGTCGGGGAAAGGTGGCGTTCGTAGTAAATGCGGACAGCCGAGGCGTCAAGTTTCACTCCGACTATAGCGAACGCACTTTGAGTTTCAGAAAATCGGAGAACGGACAAACGCAGAGACGAGATGGGGGTATCGGATTGAAGAGAACAATTTGAAGCGCAATTCCTTAAAAGATTGTGAAATCTACACGGTTTGCGACGACTACTATACGCATGTAAGCTGCAAATTGTCTCCGGTGCCCAATCATATGCGCAGGATTACTGAGAATCAGATGTGGCCTAGCGTCGGATGGTGTTAGTCAGCTCCCAGGTCGAGAAGTCGGGACAGTCTCGGGAATCTTGGAAGCGCATCGTGCTCCATCACATGATGCATCGCCGAAGTAAACACCTGCGCAGTCGCGCTCCAAGCGCACACGATCGATCCTCAGCCTCTTCCACGACAAGATGATGTCGTTGTTTCGAGTCGCGAGAACCCAGCGGGGCGCATGCCTTTTATGACGATGTGGCTGGCTCTCAATTTCCCGTCTCTGGCCGTCTGTCTACCCACCATCGCAACTTCCACCCTCCCATCGGCCCGTCTACAATGGAGTCTTACTTTTGTCTTATACAGTCGCCATCGTTCAGTAATCGGGATATCTGTCGCCGCCGCTGATCAACATCAATCTCAACATGACCGGACGTGGCTGCTTTGCAAAGTTACTCCTCAACTCAACAGTGTGAACGCGCAGTATGCGATGCGAGCCAGCACCAACATTAACATGGTACCGCAGTATCCTAATCAGATGCAGACGCCAGGCAGATAACGCCACGTACAAAGTCTCTGTCGTATACCCACCAAAACCAATACGGACAGGACCCTCAAAGCAAAAAGCAACACCACAAAACGAAAACATCAGCTTCGGAATGCGATGTTGTTGAGACAAAGGGCAAAGCGGGGTCGCCTTCTCAACCTATGAGCACTTTCGATAACCCACTGTATTCGCTTACGGCTCGCATGGACACAACGTGTATACCGACGTCTTGCTTTCTTTTTCGACATCGCAAGACCCCGCTGCCCCTAGCTTGAACCCTAACCTCGAAAACAAACATCACAAAGCAAAACCTCTATACCTAGCGACCATGCCCAGCACTCGGTTAGGCTAAGAAGAGAAACTCCGTCCAATAGTGCCACACCATCATTTTCATTATTCTTACTAGTCTAGGGAGCACTGGGCGCTACCCCGAGTGCCGCGTCGCTCCCTTGACGGTTTTCACTGCAAGCCGACAGAAACGGCAGTCCACAATCACTGTACTGACATGGATGATTGCGCGCCGTCAGCGCGGGGCAGCTAACGTTAGACCCCGTAGGCCGTTCATCATCTCGGTGTTGCGCATATCACGACAAACAAAGTATAAGCCGTGCGTCTTGTGAAAGATAAACACCAGGTATATATGTAGAGGACATGCAAGGCACACGAATCCTTTTCAACCCCTGCACCCATCGCAACTCCACTCAACTCGGTGACTCGATTGACTGTTCTAATCATGTCTTCTGACCTACGCGCCCCCACCGTTGCTGTCAACTTGACACTGATTGTGTTGACTTCACTCGCTATCAGCTGTCGTGTTGGGAGGAAGATCAAGATAATGAGCAGCTTTGGCTGGCATGATGGTGAGCTCAGTCTACTTCTTCCCATCCGAATCATCATACTAACTGACATGAAGCTCTTGCTGTCTTTGCCGGAACTTGCGCCATCGTCCTATCATGCATTCAGATGTACGCTACACGTCTGGGAGCTGGCCTGCACGAAGCAGATATCGACCCAGCCAACATGGAGATGCTCCTCAAGGTATAACAACCCCAACCTACCATCACCATCTTCCACCCACTAACCCAACACCCCAGATGGTCATGGCCGCTCTAATCTTCTACTTCTCCGTCAACTGGGCCGTCAAGCACTCGCTACTGATCTTCTACACCGAGCTCACCTTCGAGCCGTGGGCCCGCCGCTGCATCTTCATCATGCACATCGTCGCCTTCTCCTTCGGTCTCACCTGCGTCGTAACCAGCATCTTCCAATGCATCCCTGTGGCAAAATGGTGGGATCCGACCATCGAGGGCTACTGCATCAACCTGAGCGATTTCTCCTACTTCAACTCGGTCTTCATGGTGGCCTGCGATGCCGTCCTCTATATCCTCCCCGTCATCTTCACCTGGAATGTTAAGCTTAGGCGCCACCACCGCATCGCCGTCAACTTCCTCTTCGCTTTGGGCGGACTCGTCCTCGCTGCAAGCGCAACTCGCGTCTACTTTGTCCACCGACTCGCCGTCATGGGGGACTTCCCCTTCCAATACGCTGCATCCATGATTTGCGCCGTTGTGGAGAACCATCTCGCCGTCATCGTCGCCTGTGCGCCGAGCATCAAAGCCGTCCTGATCCGCTACTACCCCAGCCTGCAAAGTAAGTTCGAACGTATCATCAGCGACGAGGGCTCCGGCTCAAAGGGCAAAGCGTATCGGACTGGGAGCAGCGATCGTGCTACATATGACCCTGAGGCTGGGACCAACGGCAGTGAAGATGTCAAGCTGCAGATTGTCAAGACGCAGGATGTCAAGATTGAGAGGCCAGATGCGAACCGCATGATCACGGGTAGCAGTGGTAAGAGTGAAGGTAGTCTG